GGTACTATGGGCCAGAGGCTCTGCCTGACAATCTGCCTCTTGTGTTACACCAAACTTAACAAACTTTTCTGAAAAGCAAAATGTGGATATAAAAAAAATCTGAGACTCAGATTTAAAGCCACCAGCATGCTTTAGGATTGAGCAGTGGTGGAATGACATAATTAATAAGCAAAATGTGTGTAAGGTATGCATGTACATTTATTTCTGTCAAAAACTGTGTCCTGCTCAAATCCTATGATTTATTAACATTTACCTTAAGCTATCCTGAAATTTCTGTTCAACACAACTGCTTCTCTTGGATATATCTTGAAGTCACATTCAAGTACTCCTTCTACCACTCACAACTCAACTAGTCTGCACCTCATGGCCCAGGAAACCCTTTTGTACACAGAAAATGCAAGTGTCAGCCTTCTTAAACATCAATATTACTGCTTAAAGGGATGAGGGGATTTGAACATCAGTGGTGCTCTCTTTGTAAAATATTATGTCTTATTTTTAAAAAATTTGTTGTTGTGAAAATAAAGTCTTAAAATAAAGCAATTATATTTAGCCTTACAGAGCTGTTTTGTTAGCAGTCTTCTCTGTTAAATAAGGAAGGATTTTAGTCCATTTTTACATTATCAGTGAACAGTACATGTGGCAATCAAATGAGCTGGCCAAGGTTATAGTAATGTAAACATAACACATTGCAACAGGATTTATTTCAGCATAACAAAGTTGCATACCTTTAGCACACTGGAAGTTCAGGAAACCTGACACAAGTTCCAACTCCCTCCAACACTCAAAAACAAAAACCCTAGACACCATTACAGGCTTCCTGAAGATCTGCCACAGCTTGTCTACAAAAGGCAACAGTACTCAGGTGCAAGAGATCAACAGGAGAAACAGACCCGGGCAAGGAGAGTGGTGGAGGTGAGGTGGGTGACACTGTAACCAAACCCAAGTTAGGAAGCACGGGAAGGGTGAGGTCTCAGTTCACCAAGGCTCAGCCCCTAGCACTTCATCACACGAAGAGACAGCATTTTGGGCACACAAAGATGACTACAGGATCATCAGTGAAACAAATTCATATTTAAGTGATCTGGGTTGTACGTAACAGTATCTTCCTCAAATGGATAGTAATAATTTCATTTATCAGTTTTCAGCTGGCATAAACATAGAGATCTCCTAATCTTTCAAGTTAACTTATCTGACCTGGAAAAAAGGAATAAAACAACCTGTTAGCTTTTACTGAATCCACAAATGCTCTCTACTTTCTTTTTTTTTTTCAATGGCTGCTTTTTTTCTTTTATCCATTTTAAATAAGATTTAGAGGTCTACTCAAGAGAAATATAGAAACAGTAGTAATTTTTTTTTTTCCCCAGTTCTGCTGACCAAGACAGTGTGAGTAAGGATGCAATTCACTCATCAAATTCAGGTCTTCCAATGAACTAGGTAAAACTGTCATAAAGTTTCTCTGGGACGAAGGGTGTCATAACTACTCAGCCCACTTAAGTTATTAGTAAAATACAAGTCATCTTCATTTCATGTTTTTCTATTAATGATGCCACTACCTACAATTAGGAAAAATATTAGACAATAATATTAGAAAAATAAAAAA